AAATAAAGGTACAATAAAATTTTTAATAAATACCTTTCTCCTGTAAGGTTAAATTAATAATTAATTATGTTTTTTAAAAATAGATGAAGATGATCAATTGAGAAAGTATTTGTTAGTTATGGAATATGCAGATGGCGGTACTCTTCGAAACTATTTGAAGGAAAATTTTGATAAACTTAATTGGGATGATAAATACCAATTGGCATTTCAATTGGCTTATGCCGTATCGTGTTTACAATGATGAAGGAATTATACATCGTGATTTGGTAAGATACAATATATCTATTAAAAAAAAAAAACTATATAATAACTTATTATTTATATAAATATAAAATAGCATTCCAACAACATATTGGTTCATCAAAATAGTATTAAATTGACTGACTTTGGATTATCGAAAAGAATTGAGGAAGTATCATCTAAACAACAAACAAAATTTTTTGATATCGTTCCTTACATTGATCCAAAAAAGTTTAATATGTCAACATATAAACTAAATAAAAAAAGTGATGTTTATAGTGTTGGAGTGCTGTTATGGGAAATATCAAGTGGTTATCCTCCTTTTAAAGCTGAAGAGTATGATGTTTGTTTAGCTGTGAAACTTTCGCAAGGCCATAGAGAAAAATCTTTTCCTGATACGCCTAAAGATTATGTAAAAATTTATAATGGTAAATATACTATTCAAATTTAATTAAAAAGATAAAATAAAATAATAATTTTTAAAACTAATGTATTTTTTAGATTGTTGGCATAATGAACCAGACAATCGACCAGAAATGAATCAAGTGGTTGATAAATTAAATGGAATGGTTTCAAGCACGTGCATGAAAGAAAATGGTCAATTGAATAATCATGAACTAAATCTTCAAATATCCAAACAACAACAACTTCATTATGATGTTGATTCATTAGAACAGATGCAAGTAGATAGTTTAGCTATTATTTATGATGATACTATTACTAGTTTAACCATTACAGATATTAATAAGGATGGCATATTAAACGTCACCTTAGGAGGATTACAAAGATATCGAAAATTAACCTCCCTATTTTGCAATAATATTCGAATAACCAGTTTACCAACTTTACCTAACTCATTAACGAAACTCTATTGCTATGAAACTCCTATAAAGAGCTTACCAACTTTACCCGATTCCTTAACAATACTCAATTGTCGTAATACTCAAATAAATATCTTACCAACTTTACCCGACTCCTTAACAATACTCTCTTGCTATAGTACTAATATTACTAGCTTACCAACTTTACCAAACTCCTTAACAATACTCCATTGCTATGAAACTCCTATAAATAGCTTACCAACTTTACCCAACTCCTTAACGGAACTCGATTGTAACAATACTCCAATAACTATCCTACCAACTTTACCCGACTCCTTAACAAAACTCTTTTGTAGTCATACTCAAATAAATAGCTTACCAACTTTACCCAACTCTCTAACGGAACTTTCTTGTTATGATACTCAAATAACTATCCTACCAACTTTACCCAACTACTTAACGTTTCTCGAATGTAGTAGTACTCCAATAACTATCCTACCAACTTTACCCAACTCCTTAGTATATCTCTGTTGCTCTTATACTCAGATAACTAGCTTACCAACTTTACCAAAATCCTTAACGGAACTCGAATGTAGTAATACTCCAATAACTTTCCTACCAACTTTACCAAATTCCTTAACGAAACTCAAGTGTTATAAAACTCAAATAAATAGCTTACCAAATTTACCCAATTCCTTAAAGACTATCGAACCTAAAGCATTAAAAACTCCACACCTCAATAACTAAAACACAACGCATGTGCGAAATTATATATTTTAATCTATAGTTTTAAATTTTAGCCGAAATTCTTAAATAATAAAAGAATTTAAAATTAATTGTTAATTTTACACTATTCAACGATATTAATCAATAATATATACTATCGAACAAGCTTTAATGTGGAATTTTTATGAATCACCCGATTATAATTAAAGTTGCATTTAGAAAGTTTTTTATTTCGATCATTTTCGTGCTAATTAGAGCAATTACCGTGACATAAAATTCTGTGACTTGCACAGTTATTGCGCTCCTTAATTGTTGATATACAATTTTATTTCCGCTTTCCTTAAGTTTCTCTTTAACCTTGGTTTCAAAGGTTATTATTATACTTGGTCAATTTTATTTTCTATAAATTGAAAATTTTTAATAAATAAAACATTTCAAATAAAATTATTCATTGCTTATTTAAATTCTCGATCAATTCATAAGTAATTTAATTAAAAAGATTTTATTAATTTTATATAATAAATTATTTATAAAATTCCAAGACAATTTAAAAGGGGTTTCTTCATTTCAGTGAAATTATTCGGATTCCATGTTTTGTCAACAATTAATTTCTTTACAATTTGACGCGTTTTCATGATAGAAACTAAAAAAAAATATGAAATCACATGTAAATTCATTTTTGAAAGAAAACAAAAAGAAAAGAGGGAAAATAATTAATTACTTTTCAGCATCAATCGCCTTATTTAATAGTCGAATAAAAATTCATAAGGAATATTACAACTAAATAAAACCATCAATATAATCAAAACAATATTTTTCTACAAAAGGCTATGCACCTAGTGGATTATTTACTGCAAAGAAAGCAAAATAAACAAATATTAACTAATGAACGATAAATAATCAAAGTATTTGATAATTATACCCGTTAAAAATAGTTACATGGCGAAATGGGAACCGAAATAAATTTGTAAGCTCATCAGGTTCTTTATATAAGGTATAAATTTTCCATCTGGTCCATCAGAAATTTTTCTGCAAAACGCGCTACACCATTAATAATAGCAAAATGAACTCCAAATGATTCAAATACTTGAGAGGAAAGTATAGATTTAATATCAAGTATAAGACACGCAATTGAAATATAATATAAGTCACATTATTTTGCACTTGATTAAAACTATGAACAAAGCCATTACAAATATTTTGCAACAATTTTTGGGACCTCAAACAATGGCGAATTTCAAATAAAAGTTGAAACAGGCTAATTATGATCAAACCTTTCGTTCGTCTTTGTTGCAATTACAAAGCAATAAAAGAAAATCAAATATGATGTCCAAATACCTGCATAATAATATCTTCCGAATACATTACACTTAAATTAATTAAAGATTCGCCATTCCAGGTTTTATAAAATTATATATTCGCTAAGCCACTTGAAATATAAGGGTATGGGATTAAGAATGAAATTTTTGGTTATTATGATTTTCTTTAAACATTGTATTTATTCTCATGAAAAAAACTCATTCTTAATAATGTAACAAATAAAATAATTAAATAGAGAGAGGAGTTAAATTTTAAAATGATATACTTTTATAAAATTTCATTGCCTAAATCGTAAGGATCAGTGCTATGGGAAATAAAACATTAGTCATATATAAACAAATTTAAGAAAATTTTATGAAGCAATTTAATAATGTTTGATTTCACGTTAAATGAATGAAGATGTTCAATGACAACTTTGCTATAAATAATCATTGGTTTCGAAAAAAGGTAATTAAAGACATATCATTATAGTATCTTAAATGTTTTAATTTCAGTATATACAAATTATTTAAATTAAAGAATTTCAATGTTTTTTGTGTATTGTTACATATTATTGATAATATTTAAATATTACTTTGTGGATCTTCTTTAAAAATTTCAATGGACTTGATAAAATTCTTTCCTAATAAATCTATATTATTTTGAATTAGGGCTCTTAATCGAATCGAGTAGAATTGTTGAATGTGTCAATCAATTTTTCGATCACAGATTATCGATTATGTATAACAATATGAGAGCGTTGCCAGTAAAATAACATTACAGATCTTATGATATTTCATAACTTGATTTTACTGGTAACGATCACATATAGCATCGTTATATTTTGTAGAAAAAAAATTTTTATATTTTACATTGAAAGTTATTTTTCAGATTGGAGTCTTTATTTATAATATTTTAAATTTTTATTATTAGATGATCAACGCTTGCAGTTAATTTTAACGTGAAAAACATGAAATTTTTACGTCAAACTAAAATTATTTCAACCCGGCCAACTAAGGGTAATAATATTGATGTCAATCATCAATAATATTAGAACCCTATTAACTTTACCTGAAATGGATCTAAATAGTAAATATTATAATCCTTTCGTATAATTGTATATTTGATTACGATATTTGTAAAAAAAACTTACTTCTTATTGTTATTTTTGATGCTTATATTAATAATCAATCAATCAATGATTGATTGATTAAAGAAATCGATCGCACGTGAATGATCTATTAAGTTATTCGATCTTTAATCGATCATGTGAATGAGAGACCAAACAAAACATATTTTCATCAATTAAGTAACCAAATTTTTGTATGTTATAATCATGTGTTAATGCTATTTAGTCAAGGCACCATTTATTTAGTACTAATCCTTCAGATTCTCTAAAAAAAAAAAAAAAGTAGAACATCAGAATTGACAAAAAAAAAATTGATTATCAATTTAATTCAATAAAATCAAAAGTCTAAGAATAGTTATTTTTCATTTCCAAATTTATCATCACAATTTTTTACTGTGGAAATGATGGAATGATTGTATGAAAATCCATATTTGATAATGCTAAAATTTCTTTGTAAAGTTGCGGTGAAAGGGAATTTGTATTAGTTGAAGTCAATTTTTAGACTATTGAGCTTCAGGAGCCATTTTATTTTTATTATTATTTTTATATTTTCATGCTCAAGTTAATTTAATAAGACATTAATCATACAAACAAAAAGCTTTCACAACATATTGAAGGAATAAATTCCTTGAAATTTTGGGTTCATAACAACAATGGATTTAAGCAATCATAATACTTTTTTTATTAATAATTTAATATATAAAAATTCGCAAAAGAATAAAGAATTTAATTAACATAGTTGCACTATTACATTAAAACTAATTCAAATGACCAAGAATCAAGTCTTATACGTTTTCTAATTTTAAAAATTGAGCATTTGAATTGAATAAATTCCTTCCCATTTCTAAAAACGAAAGAATTACATTTCCAATCTTTGCCTTTTTTTCGATAAGCCATTGTTGTACATAATTTTTATCACAGTCATTGGGAATACATAAAAGCTCAGTTTGGCAGTCAGGGATGCTTTTCATGTAAAACTGACAGGCAGCGACAATGGCTGGTACTTTATTTCTACACTTGTAATAGTGCAACCTTGTAATGCTAGCATCACTGTTGCGAGCGAGGATACTAAGTTCGTTTTGAAGAATGCTGAAGAATCCGGAAATTTCAGCTAAGGATTGATCAAAGTTGAGAAGTGAAGTATGTAGGACATCTCGAATAATGTGCGTGGCGGCTACAGCCAACTTTGATTCTTCTTCACTTGCAATTGCTTCAACAAGATCTTCCTTGCCTCTGTACCACAAGATTGGACTGGCGATGAAGTTTACGCCAGGAATAAGTGACAAACCAATTGCCCAGCTTGTCTTTGCATTACTCGATTCTTTCAATTGTTTTGCTCTTGCGTTATACCACACCGCATCTTTTTCAAGCTTTTTCAATACAATATTCACGCAGTTTTGTTCAGATTTAAAGTTGGCAAGTATTTCCTGGTGAAGTAACTTTGTATAAGAAACCATATCTCGTTTCCTATGGGCACCATTAGCCAAATCCTCGATGCATTCTTTGAAATCATCATAGCTTAGCGCGGTATAGGTTTCAACGAAATCTTGAATATTTTCAATAACTGCATTCGCAGTTGGTAAAATCACCCTGTAATAGACTGTGGCATGATTGGTAATTTTACGACGAAGATGAACAAACTCCTGAACAGACGAAGCTTCCGTAACATAGCAACTACGAAGGGACATACAAGCAATTTTGAGGTGTTTGTTGGCAGCATTGCGTAGGTCCTCACTAAATTTTACAAGTTCAGATTCAGTTACAGTACGATTAGACATGGATGAGAATTTTCATTTTTTAAGGAAAATAGAATGCCTTTATATAATATTTCGATTATTTGTACAAAAGTATTATTAAGCCTATTATTGCTACTGATCAACCTGTCATTGATGACCCCATATCGACAAATAAAAATCCGTAAATCCTTTATAAAAGGATTTGAGATTTCAATCCTTTGTTTTATTTTCCATTTTTATCTCTTTTTAAATTTAATTTCAAAGATAAAAATGAAATTCACTAGTATATATTAGTATATATGTAGAATTTGTCGAGATTTCCGTCTTTCAAAAAAGATTTACTCACCCTGAAAATGGTTGAAGTTTATCGAATTTTTATTGCGTGTATGTCTGTTACGGATTTACTTCCATATGGAAAAGGAATTCCGTATTAACCGCAGAATTAACTGCGCCATGAGTACATCACACTTGTTAATTCGTAAAATTGGTTTATTTCTAAACTTAATATATATTTAACAGTAGTAAATATTTAAATTTTATTAAAAGACTTGTATGAATTTGTGGTCGAGAGAATTTTTGTATTTGGTCACGCCTTGAGGTAAGACTTAGAAACTTTCAAATATATAAATTTCCTATTCTAACTTTCAATTTTGATTCGTGTCTGGAATGATAGGTCTAACTACATAAGTTGATTGTTAACAAATCTCTCAAAATAGTTTTTGAAAGGTAGCTTAGTTTGTGAGGATACTAGAATGATATCGGATAAATATCTGAAATCTTTTGAATTTCTGAATATTTTCTAGTCTTTCACATTTTGGTACGTTTTTCGGACAATTTATACTTTTTCCGATTATTCGGACACATTAAAAAACATTGTTGGTAATGCATTTCGGAGATCATGTTTCATTGGGTTACGGCTTGATAAATATTATAATTTATGTAAATGACATAATTAGTTTGAATTTCAATCAATTAACATTACTTGACAGTGATGGCAAATGACCAGGTCATTTGGCCATTTTGATATGACCTAATAATTATTTCGATAGACCTGATCATTTGGGGTTATTTATCATTTTGGTCATTTAAATGTTTGCTCTAATTCCTTAATTCTCGTTTCTAAGTCTTTCTAAATTGTTTAAACCAATTTATTTTTTGATTTACTTTTTTTTTCTAATTTGATCGTATAGGCAAAAAGTAAAGTTCATTTTACTTATAATTATTTTACATAAGAAATTATTAATTTGTAGTTTTTTAATTTAATCAGTTACATATTACCTTTTACCCTCCATTTATCAAATTCAAGCAAAAAATTATTTTTCATTATACTAATAGATATATTATATATATCATAATATATATTTATTTATGATCTCCGTAAAGTAGAAATAAAAAAAAAAAATTAAAGTAATTGGGTCTGTTGTAACCCAAATACGTTAATGTCCGAAATGCGCATTTTGGATATCGGGACATCAACGCAATACCCACTTTGAAAATTCTCAGATATTATGGATATGATGCAAATGTTTGTTATTTTTTGAAAAGTCTTGTAGAAAAGTAATTCTCTTTTGACGAGTTTGACATATTACTTATTTCTGATCATGTTCAAATATGCGACTCATTTCTGACAAATATTCGTGCTATTAAAATAAGTACCTTTATACAATAAAATCTGTATTGGGATCGATACATCCCATATGAAAATATAATCATTTCAAATCGTTCATTGTCACTATTCAGTATTATCTTTGCATTTTAAAAATCCAAATATGAGGTCAATCGAGATATAAAAAGTTTATGGTCTGGATAAGTATGTTAAGCTAAACAAGTTAGACCGTGGGTAAGCAAATTATAAAAAAAAATGCGAGAATTTTAAATTTTTGTGGACACTTTATCGGACGAAAGTTTGCCTAATAAACTGGATTATGTAAACATTATGAAATTAAAAGGTTAAGATGAGATACCATATAATCCAAGATGGATAGTAATCATCGTGACTATTGTTGTATTCTCGTTTACGTATTAATAAACAATTTGATTGTAAGCAGAAGGTGTTAATTGAATAAAAATGAATAATGACGCTAAATTTATTTAATATTATCAATTTGATCAGTGTTGCCTCACGTCGGCGCTCTACACTTTCTCTATGTCAAAATATTAAAGCTTGGTAATTAATTAAAACTGTGTAAATACGAAACAATTACATAAAAATTGAATAATAAAAAATACTAATAAAATCGGAATTTAAAAAATAAACGAAGTTCCAAATAAGAAATCTAAAAAAGTTAAAACGGCGAAAGCGAAAATATCGCGGTGTTAAAGGAATGATTTCGAGGTGAATTTATGCAAATTATAATAAGGGCAAAGGATTTCCGGCTTGTATATATATAAAAAAAAAAATAATTAGGCAGCCTGTTCTGTACATTATGTCATTCTGGCACATTGACAACCTGGTACCGTGCCAGCCTGGCAATTGATCTTCAAAGGACTAACTGCAAATATAAAAAGCGATTCACATGCGGAATTATGGAGATTTCGGGCGGAATTATCTTCAATGTAACACTATCTTAAGCTTTCAATGCGGACAATTCACCAGGTAATTCAAATAATTTTCTCTAACGGACGTGATGTAAGTCGTCGACGATGTCAAATTGTAAAATTAATAAAATACTTTCGACTATGTAAATTAATTCTAATGCTTTTTAACAAAATAAAAATGAAACCATTTGAATAACCAACTAAATTTTTTACCATTCATTAGAGACTGCAAATAAATTGAGATTTTATTTTAAAAAAATAATAAGGATGTTAAATCACTATTTTATTAAAATTTAAAATAGACGTATATCGACTAAAATTTCAGAATTCTCATGCACTTCTCTTAATTTTAAATTTAGGACTGACCCAAGTTTCATATTCCTTCTCGTTATTAATATCACCAAACATTTTTAACGCTTTAATTCTAATAAAATAATCTCCATCAGGAGCGGGCGTACCAGGTTCTGTCATATTATCAAGATTATAATGAATAAGTCCATCCCAATGAACTATAAATACTATTGGTTTTTTTCGATATTTAATACCAGTAAAATATTTAACCCATCCTAAAAACTTATTATTGGCATCAAGTATTTCGGTAATAAGATTTGATGTCGGAGTCGCAAGATTAAGTAACACAAATGGATAATCATGTGTACCATCAGTAATATTTAAAAGCTTTAAAGTGAACGTTGCAATCGGATCTTCTTTGCTGATAACATTACGAGTCAAATTAACAAGCACAGGAAATCGAGGTGTCTGAAATAATGGAAGCGATCTTGCATCATCAGCTAACCCGGCTACATAAATCATAAAGTTGACCAGTTACCATTAGAATGTCCAAAATAGCAGATATGCAAGGAAAATTGTTACCATAAGGAACGGTCATTGTAGGTATGTTCTCATCTACCGGAATTATTTCTAACCATCCACTGTAAAACAAATGTAAATCCTTGGGTATTTTCTTTGGTAAAGTAAATGTTACAGAAACCTCAACATTTGATTTAGGCGGCACAGCAATTCGATTATAATCAAATTCAACGCCAGCACATTGTTCTTGTTTTGGAAAATATTCCAAGTTTATATAATTTCTTACAAAAGTTTTATTATATCCATTAAAACTTGGAGCTGGCAAGTGTGATAATTTATATTTCATCTCCTTTCTTCCAACATTATAGATTTTTAATGTATGATGCCCATTAAAATGAACTGTATCATTCAAATTAATTTTTGGTGGATAGACAAAGCTGGTTGCTTTCAACAATTTAAAAGCGTCGACGAATCCTGCGCCTTGGATAACTACCGGAGCTAGTAAATTATTGCGGTCTTTATAAGGAACAGCATTATTCATGAATGCCACTTTTAGTTGTTCGTAAGATTGTGGTTTTCCAAATACTTCAATATATAATGCTGCTATGCCGGCTATATATGGTGAAGAAAAACTTGTTCCAGAATCCAATATATAAGGGGGTAAATTTACTAGGAAAGTTGAAAACATATGTTGCCCTGGTGCGGAAATTTCAGGCTATAGAATTTGTTTATATATTTTTTTTTTAAAGAAATAAAACTGACTATGTAACTTATTTTAGAGACATATTTCTTACCTTGATATCTAACTCGACACTTAAACCCCAACTTGAAAATACCGAAGGAACTACTGAATATGATTTATATTCCATATATCCATACTTATCAGAAAAATCTAATTCCAAATTTGTATTTTTTTCGAGATATTGAATTAAAATATCGGCTTGACTCGAATCAATCATTGCATCATTTCTCACGCTCACGTCCGGTAAACCTTCTTCAATAATTTCAGGAAAAATTAAAAATCGCCCGACTGGCTTAAGGGTTTCGTTATTAAACTAGAAATAAAAAATTGTGAAAATAAAGTTGCTTTTTTTTAAAAAAAAAAAAAAAATTAAAAATAAAAACAACGTAAGACATACACGAATCATTATATCGATACATGATAAATTTTCTCTAAAGTCTATGATAATTAATGTATTAATAAATTCTTTGTAATCATTTGAACATTTGTTCATTGGAAACAATTTAACATTAGCACTTTGGAACGGAAATGCCAATGCACTTCTTGTAATATAGTCTATATAATTAGCAAAATTTTTAATTTCTTTTTTTTTTTTATAATGGAATTTGCAAATCGAAATAAAACTTATGCTTACTAATAACAAATTCTGGATTCTTTGGATCAAAGGCTTTGAAATTAAGAACTTTATCAGTTCTGAATGAACCGACACTAATTGTATTTTGAATATCCGATGGCATCAAACTAGTAAATACGCCCAAAATACCATCATTCCCTGCCGCCGATATAAATATTATTCCTTTATATTTAGCCAAATCATTGATCATAATTGCAAGAGGGCCTCTATTGTCACCTTTAGATCCCTTAAATAATTTAATGGTAATATTTATTTATTTATTTTTATTATTATTATTATTAAAAATGAAGTTTTACTTACAAAGATAAATTTATGATGTCCATTCCATCATCAACCGCCATGATAATAGCTTTCATTACCATATCTAAAAATTCTTGTCCATGAATGTTGTAAACTTTACCATTGGCATCATAATCACTTGGACAATCCAAAGGTAAAACTTTATATGCTCCAAAAATTACATCAGGTGCCACACACCTACAAATCCAGGTCCGTCATCTCTTAGATCAATACCTCCAATAATTCCCGTTACAAAAGTGCCGTGTCCAGCACAATCGTACGGGTCGTTATTATCATCAAGAAAATTATACCCAAATGCTACCCTACATCCTGGTCCAAAGCATCCTCCGAGAGCAGGGTGTGTATAATCAATTCCTGATGCATAAATAATAAAATGAAATAAGTGTTAAAAATTTTTCGTAATCATTAAATACGAAATAAATTTATATACCTGAATCAATGATTCCGACCCTGACACCTTTTCCTGAAAGTTTTAATGTTTCGCGAACCTTCTCAACACCAGTAATTTCATGAATAGCATTAATATCATTATCAGGAGCAATTACAACCGTTTCATTACGAAAATCCTCGGCATTATTTTTCAAATTTTTTTTATTAAATTCGATTCGTTTATAAAGTTTCTAGAATAATCGAATTTAGTTTACTGCGCCACAGCAATTCAATTCCGACAACGACACTTACCCCGGGTTCGACACTTTCAACATGCTCAATTTCGGCAATTCTCTTTACATTACGTTCATCGGTTTCAATACTAATGACGTTCGTATATCGTTTGAACACGTTTTTAATTTTGACATCGATTCCACTTTTATTTAACTCTTTATAAAAATTAGCATGTTGGATTTCAATATGGTTTGCAGATGAAGTGAATGGCGAAGAAGTGAATCTAACATAAAATGCATTTTCGCGAACTTTATGTGAAGATTGCTTGATTATCTCGGCAAAAGTCCAATTGACAAGGAATGAGAGATGAATAGTCACTTTCATTTTTATCATTTTCATATTCCTTTTTTTTATTAAAAAAAAAAAAAAATTTTATTCACGTTTTTTTTATATCTTTTTTTTTCGCACTTAAAATAACTCGTTTATTTTCTTTATATTAATTAATATTAATTAATTTTTAATTTTTACTACAAATATTTTTGATTATTTTTCCTCTTTAACAATTTTGGTAAAACAAAATCTATTTTTATTAATGAATACCCAAATTTCGTAATACATACATAAATATATTTTACCCATGTGAATTACTTGTTAATTTTAGGTAATAATTAAAATTATCCCATTCCTTAAATAGAAACTGCGCCAATCATGTTAACATAATCATTGAAGCAAGTAATAATTTGACAATTACGAAACTGGTAGAAGGCGTTTCCATTTGGAAAAAACTTATGCGCGATGAGACAACGATTGATAATAAAAACTGTAATGGACACAATGGAAATGTGTCCATTGTATATTTATTGCCAACACTGAATTTATTTAGATTTGAGAATTTTTTTATTTTGTTTGGATCGCAAGGTAAAGTTTTTTTTTTTTTTTATTAAATTATTATTATTATTATTATTGGATTGCTTCGGGGCACATAGACTGATGATGCTTTTTTCAACTTTTGCACTATTTAGGTGGTTGATTCGCTTGGACAGAGAGGTTAGATGGATATGCTCAGGCCTCACTAATTTTTAATTTTGTCGCGTTACATTATTGAAATTTCTTTTTTAAAGCTAAATGTCAAATTTAATCAAATAATGAATTTTTAAACGTCAAGAACAAAAAAGCAGAAAATGTGAAGGTGTATTTTTATGAAATTATACAACAATGGAAAGTATTTTAGATTTACATAATGCACTTCAATAATTTTTTTTTAGTTTTTATTTTCAATATAAATTTGATAAATAAATATATATTTTACATTTTTTGGAATTTGTAAAATAAAAGAAAGATTATTGTATATTAAATTTCGCATCGCCTAATAACATAAAATTATTATGAGTCAAGTTAGAATTGTCATATTATTAAGTCCGGGCCGGGCTTCAAAATTTGGATACGATTATGAACATTCTCCTTTTTCTGCAAGTTCTTCTGATGAACTTAAAAGTACGGTTATTACTATGATAGTTCTTATGTCTTTATAAAATGCCATCCGGCCCAAAAAGACCGGTGTTATAAGAAATCGGCAAATTACGAATGGCGCAGAAACTGCGGAAAATATTAAAAATAATTATTTAATTGTTATTTTTAGTTAGTTGTTATTTTTATTTTATTCGATTAATTATTTCTATTATACTGTTTTGTTATATTTATTTTATTTAGAAAAAGTTAGTATTTAGAATTTTTGTATAAAATCCAACCTTTGATTAAAGAATAGGATTGAGGATGAAACCTCCGAAATCTTGAAATTTAATAAAAATAAATCTTTACCCTTTCAAAACTTTATCGTGTCTCCATATATAATAACCAACTACACACAAGAATCGTATTAATAAATAAATCTTTCTTAAACGGGCCTGAGTTAGATTTAAATCCTTTGTTGGTTAATCTGGTTTCGGTTCAAAAAGCGGGGGTTAACATAACTCTTTTTTTTATTTAAATTGGACCGGCTTATATTCGGTCTATAGACCGGTCCAACGCCGAAAATAATGCTACGCGCATGGTTCGTGAATTCTAGATTGAGAGAAGCAAACTTTAAGAACACATAATCATCATAACTATGGAATTTCCCTAAAACTAACTTAATCTTTAAGGGCCAGGTATTCAATCTAGCAATGCGGAGCAGATCATCCACTAACGAGTCAGTATATTTTATTCGCATCCATTTAACATCCAATAGTTGGCGCGGCAGTAATAAAAATCAAAAAAAAATTTTAAGAATTTATCTAACCAAAAACCAAACCGGTTTGAATTTAGTTTCTCCATCGTTGCCGCAATAAAAACATAGAGGCGAAGTAAATATCCTAGCGGATTTGGTAAAACATCAAGATTTTCTATCAAGTACTGGAGCAGTTAATGACGAAAAAAAAATTCTTATGCGGAGTGCAACTGAAAATATCGCCTAAAA